GAGTGATCTTGAGAGGTGCTGTAGATTTTCGCGCGGAACTCGCGCTTTAGGAGAGCTACGGAGCTCGTGCGCACAGAGAACGATCCAGAAGCATGAGGGGCGTTTGGCTGTTGCATCGAGAGGTGCTGCCCGAGGTAGGTTCGCAAAACTCTGTGTATTTTTCGAGCCATCCTGAGAGGTGCTGTCCGTTTTTCTGCACTGAACTCGAGCTGTAAGGGGGCTGCAGAGCTGGTAATCACTGGAATCGATTCGGAGAAATCAGTCGCGTCCACCTGTCGCATTCAAAGCCCTGAACTCGGCCTGCTGCCCGAGCTAGGTCCGCGAAAATATTCATATTGTTCGAGTTATCTTCGAAGCTGATGTTGATCTTCTGCATTTAACGGGCTGTAAGGGTGCTCCAGGGCTGGTAATCACAGGAATCGTTTCGAAGACATCAGGCGCGTCCGCTTGTTGCATTCCGATGTCTAAACTCGGTCTGATACTCGAGCTAGATTCGCGAAACTATTTGTACTGTTGGAGTGATCTTGAGAGGTGCTGTCGATTTTCGCACGTAACTCGTGCTGTAGGAGAGCTACGGAGCTCGTGCGCACAGAAAACGATCCAGAATCATGAGGGGCGTTTGGCTGTTGCATCGAGAGGTCTAAAATCGTTTAGGCTGAAAAACTGTTCGTTCTCTGCAAGTTTGTTCGACACTATATATGCTTAGGAAGCTCTACGAGTCCCCCGGCGGTAAGGAAGGTTGAAGGTTTACCGCAGGCGCCCAGTAATACCTCGTAGAGCTCTTCGGCAGCGATGAGCTAGAGGAATTCCGGCGCGGGGTGGGGCTAGTTGGCCAGCCTGGCCAGGAAGGACAAAGTAAGTCGTAGAGCTTGCCTTAGCAAGTTGCTGGAAGCTTACGAGTAATTCCGGCGCGCTGGAGAGCTAGTTGGCAAGAGAAATCTCGACGGACCTTTTGCTCACTTTTGGTCGGTTGAAAATTTTGTTCTCGAAATTCAACCATTCGTTAGAGCTCTAGTATTTTTTCCCGTGATATTTGATCTTATTTCTGCTCGTCATCTCGATCTCAGCTCGATCGGGTACCTTTTATTGCCAAAAAGCGTCTAGGCGGGATCGACCGTTTCGAGTCATCTTCATACGCGCTGTCGGTATATGGACTTAACTCGAGATACAGGACAGCTACAGGGCTGGTAAGCACACCTCATCGATTCAGAATGATCAGGTGCGTTCGTCCGTTGCATCTAGAGGTCTGAACTCGGTCTTCTAGCCGAGCTTGTCGAATCCAGAGCTCGGAACTCCGTCTGCTGCCCAAACTAGGTTCGCGAAACTATTCGTATTGTTCGAGTCTTCCTGAGATGGCTGGTAATCGCAGAAATCGATTCGGAGACATCAGACGCGTCCGCCTGTCGCATTCAGAGGCCTGAACTTGGTCTGATACTCGAGCTAGGTTTTCCAAACTATTCGTATTGTTCGAGTCATCTTCAGGGTTGCTGTCGATTTACGCACGTAACTCGGGCTGTAGGAGAGCTACAGAGCTCGTACAGAAGACAATCCAGAGATCGGGGGCATTGGGCTGTTGCATCGAGAGGTCTGACATCGCTTGGGCTGATAAAATTCTCGTTCTCTGCATTTTTTTCGACATATATGTTGTCAGGAAGCTCTAGGAGTCCCCCGGCGGTAAGAAAGGTTGACGGTTTACCGCCGGCGCCCAGTGGTAACCTTTGGGTGGTTTTGCAAAGATTTGAAAAATATTTGACCATTCATTTTGAGAAAGCAGATTTTTCGCACCTGTAGTAGGTTATGCCGCGTCTGCCAGTAAAATTTTGAGGTCCGTAGGTGCAGTATTATCAAAACACTTGGAGCAACCGACGTTAGATAAAAACAGAAGAACGTGATTTTTCGAGTTTCTCAGGTTTTGCTCTAGACGCTTCCTGCATGCTTGCCCATGAGCGTCGTGTGAGAAAAGAGCTTTACGAGGGCCCCGGCGGTAACCTGGGTGACGGTCTACCGCCGGTTCCCAGTTCCGGGGCGCCAGGGGCTAGTTGTCAAGAAAAATCTCGACGGACCTTTTGGTGACTTTTGGTCGGTTGAAAATTTTGTTCTCGAAATTCAATCATTCGTTAGAGCTCTAGTATTTTTTCCCATGACATTCGATCTCATTCCCGCTCGCCATCTTGATCTCAGCTCGATCGGGTAGCTTTTAATGCGAAAAAGCGTCCAGGCGGGATCGACCGTTTCGAGTCATCTTGATGCGCTGTCAGTATATTGGACTTAACTCGAGATGCAGGATAGCTACAGAGCTGGTAAGCACGCCTTATCGATTCAGAATGATGAATCGCGTTCGTCTGCAGAGGTCTGAGAGAAAGGTTGACGGTTTACCGCGGGCGCCCAGTTTACTATCAAAACACTTGGCGAAACCCACTTCGACATGAAAAAAATGAATGTTCATTTTTTTGAGGAATGCCTCCAGAAGATCTCTGCTTCGACTCTGACCACTCTCATGCGTAGAAGGAGCTCTACGAGGTTCCCGGCGGTGACCAGGTTGACGGTTCACCGCCGGTGCCAGTTGTCTCTTCGTACCTCGTAGAGCTCTTCGTTATCGATGAGCGAGGAATTCCGGCGCGGGAGGAGCTAGTTGGCCGACCCGACCAGAAGAGAGAATGTGACAACTTTGGGTCGGTTTTGCTAATATTTGAAAGGTATTTGTCACTTCATTTGGAACACCGGCTTTTTCCCATCTATAGTGGGTTGTGCCGCGTCTGCTAGTTAAATTCTCGAGTCCGTAGCTGCAATATTATTATTCAAAGACTTGAGGGAACCGTCGGCTGTTTCGAGTTATCTTGACACGCGTTGACAGTTTTCTGTACTCAACTCGAGATTTCGAACAGCTCCAGAGCTATTATTTACAGAAACCGATTCAGAATCATCAAGCGCGTTCGTCTGTTCTATCCAAAGGCCTGACCTTCGGTCTGCTACTTGAGCTAGGTATGTCAAGCTATTTGTGTTATACGAGTCATCTTGATCAGTGATGTCGATTTTCTGTACTCAACCCAAGATTCAGAGGAGCTGCAGAGCTAATGCTTACAGAAACTATCCAGAATCATCGGGCGCGTTCGTCTGTTGCATCCAGAGGCCTGAACTCGTTCTGTTACTCGAGCTAGGTTCAGAACGCTTTCCGTATTTCTCAAGTTCCCTTTAGAGGCGTTGTCGGTATTCTGCACCCAGAGCTCAGAACAGAGTCTGCTTCTCGAGCTAAGTGTAAACTATTTGTATGCCACAGATTTTTCAGATTTGTTTGGCTCTCGCTTAAGCTTGTTCCACGTGTGCCGCAGAGCTGGGCAAGAAAAGAGCTCTACGAAGTCCCCGGCGGTAGCCAGGTTGACGGTTTACCGCCGGCGTCCAGTTCCCGGGGTTTTGGACGCTACCAAGTTGACCCACCCGGCCCGGGTGGACAATGTGTGAACTTTGGGTTGGTTGGGCGAACTTCCTGACCGGTATTTTTCGTACCTGTAGTGGGCTGAGTCGTGTCTCCCCATAAATTTTCAGATCCGTAGCTGCAGTATTATCAAAACACTTGGGGGAACCGTCTTTGGATAAAACAGAAGGACAGGATTTTCGATTTTTTCAGGTCTTGCTGCAGACCCTCCTTCATGTGTACCAAGGAGCGCTGTGCGAGGAAAGAGCTCTACAAGGGGCCCCGGCGGTAACCTGGTTGACGGTTTACGGCCTGTTCCCAGTCAGTTGGGCCGTCTGCTGCAGAAGAAACGCACCCGTGAAGATCGTGCTTACCTCGTGGAGCTCTTTGGCATCGATGATCTAGCTGAACGGTAGGTAAGACACGCAGTGAGCAGTTAGAAGCGTTTGGGATGCATCGGACATCTTGACTAACGTGACGGGTGATGTCATGGAGCTAAATAAAATATAAACATCGTATCAAGAACGTCGTTATCAGTTTGGATGCGAATGTTGGAGTTATGCCAATGTCACGATTGATGGTGCACGTGTCTCGGGGGGGAGGGGGTCTCCTTGTCGCCCATCCTCGTGCCCGTGGGGGTCATGCGGCGTCGGCTGATGTGCTCCGTGACTTTTTTCCTGCTCCCTTACCGCATGTATGGCTACGCTTGAGCTCTCTCTGGCCAACACGTTTGGGGATCGTGCCACAACTTACCGTGCACCGTCGGGCCAAGAGAAAGTCTTGGACTACCTTGTCGTACCGAAATCGTGGTCGTGCTCACCCGTTGTGTCTTGGTTATTCCCGCATGCTTGTCGGAACCTACCGGATGTTCAGATGCTTTGGAGTGATCACAAGTTGTTATCACTGCGCATTCCGTCTCCTGTGCAGTTAGGCGGACAGCGCCCCAAGTCCTTGAGTAAGTGGAGGGTGGTGGCCGGGAGGGAGGTTGACCAGGCACGTCTGTTTGACCAGGCACTGTGCTCCGACGGTCTCGAGAGGCCTGTACATGCTGTGTGGAGCCCACGTTGTTGTGTCCGCTCTTGTGGACCGTCAGCTCTTGAGGCTAAGTAAGATGAAGGAGGCTGCTGTGGCGAGCCAATCGTGCCATGTGTTCGAGGGCCCGTCGAGTCTTTTCCCGAGGTTGTCTGAGGAGCAGGTCCGGTTTCGTCAGCATCATTACCAGCGTCACAGAGACTGGAAGCGGGTGCTCATTGAGGAGGAGGAGTTCAAAAGGAGTAGGAGGAGGTGGACGGCTATCAGAAGGTCGTATCGTAGGCAGCTCATTGTCTATCGTCACCGAGAAGGACTTAAACATAAGTCCCTGGTCACGCACATGGAGGTGGGAGGGATACTGACGGAGGATCGTTCTAAATGGGTGGAGGGTCTATCTCTGCATGCCAAGTCAAAGTACGAGGATGAGGAGATGAGGATCCTGAGTAACAACTGTCTTGAGGAGCTTCGTGTCCGTGCTGATTGGGCTGCCTCTTTGGGTTCCAGTGGGCCTCGAGAGTGTCCGATCACTATGGCTGTGCTTCTTCGTGCTCGTTCTAGGCTCAAGGAGGGCCGTGCTGTGGGAGCAGATGGAATACCTTGCACTGTTCTCAAAGCCTTGGCATGGTCTTCTCTTCGTGTTATATTATCATCGTTCCAATTTCTTTATCGTCGTGAAGTGTCATCGCCGGATTCCTGGCGCCAGCTACGTGTCAGCCTCATGTTGAAGGACCCCAAGTTCCGCCGTTTCGGTGAGTCTCGTGCATTGGCAGTCTTTAGCATATTCAGTAAATGGTTCTCGTGCTGCCTCACCCTGTTATTGGATGAGCATGTTCGTCGGGCTTTGTCAGGTACGGGCTGCAATCTTTATGGTCTCTGCTCTGGTCACCGATGCCACGAGATCACGGCGGGCCTCAAGGTATTAGCTCGTCACTCGAGGCTTGGGGGCAAGGGCCAGAATGTATTCATTGCGAGTCTTGATGTTGGGCAGGCATTTGACCACCTAACGATCCCCCGAGCTAGTGCGAGCCTGCAATGGCTACAAGTTGATGATGAGTTGATCTTCGCTCTTATGGAGGGTGCGGAGTTTCAATTTCAAGAGATCTGCTCACACCCGATCCCATGGGACTCGTGCATCCGTACTGGGTCTCTTGAGGGCCCACCGTTATGGAACGCGCAGTGTATCAGTATGTTTGGGCCTGTTTTTCTGAATTGGGAGCGTCTGGGCAAAGGCCTTGTCTTGTCGGCGGAGGCTGGAGGCATCTGTGTCTCTCACTTCGTTTGGGCCGACAACGTTCTTCTGGTGGCGAGGTCCCTCCCCATGTTGACCTCGATGATCGTCGAACTAAACCAGCCCTTGTACCTTCGCGGTTTCCATTGGAAAGCATCCAGCCTCGAGTTCATGAGTGTTGCCAGTGATGATACTGACCCCCTGGTCGTCCATCTTTCTCCTTCTTCGGGATCCTCGGGAAATTGCCCAAGCTCAGCCCTGGTTTTCAAGCGCGTCTCGGTGCTGAAGATCCTGGGCACCGTTATTGGCAGAAATTTTATTGATCATGAGGATATTCGTCATCGTATGCGATGGACTGTTGGTGCTTTCTGGAAGGAAAAATCTTATGACCAGTCGCGTCTCATTTCTATTCATTCGAAGATTCGCCGTTATGATTCGAGAGTTCGCAGCAAGTTCTTGTATGGTTTGGAAGGGGCTTCTATTCATGCTAAGGCGTTGCGGTATATCCACAAGGAGGAAGGGGAGATGCTGCGTCGCATGGTCTGGCGTAACAAGCGAGCAGATGAGAGCTGGAGTAGTTTTCTTGTCACGGCTATTCTATCGTGGTCGTCAGGCTTTGTTTCGTGAACGAAAGGCTAGCCTTGTGCAGCTATGTGTGTATAAGCAGTGGATGTGGGCGAAGGATGTTGTGTCTACATGTTTGTCTCCGCCTCCTGCTTCATCCCCGTCTGCTGCTGCTGCGTCTCCTCCCATGCCATCTCAGTCTGTCTTGGGAGCATTGTCTATACCGCTGGAAGAAGAGGAGGATCATAGCATCTCGGTGGTGGATGGGTCGCCGTCGTTTGTTGATGTGACCGTTGAGGATGGTCGCAAGAAACATCGCAGGCAGGAGATCGGCGAGATGCAGAGGCAGGCTAAACGTGCCCGTGGGAATCTGTCTCAGAACATTGTTTGTGTGCGGGATGCCTTTGAGCCGTCCCGTGCTGTGCCGCCGCCTGAGAAGAGACGGAGACAGCGGTGGTCCCCCGAGCCTGTGGCCCCATGTGTGTCCAGCTTTGCTCAGTCTCGCCGACTCATGCTGCGCGCTTCGGGTTCATGGACACGGACTCGTGACGCTCCTGTCCATCTTGCTGGGACCGAAGAGGCTCGGGCATTTACCCGCTTGAGAGGCCAGAGTACTAATCTGAAGGGGCTCACGCCGTGGCACCTTATTTTTGAGATGGTGGGGGGAGAACTCTGGCAGTCTAACCTGAGTTGGTGTGAACATGGTTGGCTATCTTTTATCCATGGTGTTTGTGGTCTCCTGGACTTGCCTGATATCCGGCAATGGTGTGTACTAAAAGACCCCCACCCATGGAATCCAAAGGAGAAGGAGGAGGAGGAGGAGGTGAATATGACGGAGGAGCAGAAGGCTAAATCTGATGTTAAGTTAGCTCAGAGACTTGCTAACATATTCTTGGACGAATCTTCCTGGGAGTGTGTGCCCGAGCATCTTGTGGTTGAGTTGAAAGGTGACTCGCAATGTGTGATCCGTTGGTTGGAGGGGCTTTATTACACGGGGAACATAGGCTATGCTTCCAAGGTGGCGGAGATGCAGAACATGTTATGTGATCTCTCCGTCTCATGTCTTCTCCGTTCTCCTGAGGCTGGTCGCAATATCTTTAAGTGGGTGTATAGGGAAGGAAACACTGAGGCTGATGAAATGACATGGAATGCTCGTACTGGTAACTGTGGTCTCTGGCATGACGACGACTCTTTGAAACTTATCAAGTGGAATGCAGTTATGATCGACTGCATCCGTGGTTCTTTCGACGGAGGTCGTTCCCAACGTGGTGTCGGGTGTGGCTGGGTGCTTGATGTGAGGGTTGCTTCTTATGCTCGCAATATTCTTCCCCCCTCTTTCTGTATCTTCTGTGGCTGGCGCCGTGTTGCCTCTGAGGCTTTCCTCCTCCCATCCTCCTGCGCTATCGCGTCGGCTGGGCTGTCTGCCGCCCATCGTCTCCTCTCTGCAGGAGTGCTTGTGATGCTGCAGAAGTCAGGCTTCATAGGCATGTGTAGTTCGTAGTCTGGACGTGAGCACCGTCCTGCCATGGCTCTACGCAGGCGCAAACGCAAAAAAAACAAGGTTGACGGCTTGCCGCCTGCTCCTAGCTTTGATTTTATTATAATCATTTCTCATGTCGATCGCGTAGATTTCAATGCCAAAAAGCATGTGGGCGCGACAGGCTGTTCAGTGTCGTCTTCGCAGGTGCTGTCCGTTTTCTTAACTTAAGTCGAGGTGTAGAAGAGCTACAGAGCTGACAAGCACACCTGATCTATCTAGAATCATCAGCCGCGCCAGTATCAAGTACCTAGATTATTGAACTCGGTCTGTTACCAGAGCTAGGACGAACAAACTATAAGTACTCTGTTATATATTAAGAGATGATGATGAGTTTCTAGAGAGAGCTCGAGTTTCAGATGAGCTAAAGAGCTGTTCGGCACAGCAGCCGAACGGAAATCACCATAAGCGCTAGTCTCAAGTATCCGGATGCCTGAACTCGGTCTGTTACCAGGGCTGGGTCCGAAAAAGCTTTCCGTACTCTGGTATTTTTTTGGAGATGATTATGAAGTTCTTGAGATAACTCGGGCTGCAGATGAGCTGCAGAGCTGTTTGGCACAGCAATCGAAATACAACCATCAGAAGCGCTAGTCTCGAGTATCTAGATGCCCGAACTCGGTCTGCTACTAGAGCTGGGTCCGAAAAACTATTTGTACTCTGCCAAATTTTTGAGGGATGATGATCACTTTCTTGAGACTCGAGGTGCAGATGAGCTCGATGTTTGGCACGCCAATCGAACCGACATCATCAGAAGCGCTATTCTCGAGTATCTAGATGCCCGAAGTTGGTCTGCTTCCAGAGCTGGAACTTAAACTTTTATTCGTACTTGATTATTCTTCCAGAGATGACGGTGCCTTTCTTGCTTGAGCTCGAGCGGCAGATGAGATTAGAGCTGTTCGGCACAGCAATTGGACGACGATCATCAGGAGCGCTCGTTCCAAGTATCTACTACATGTTTGAAATTGGCCTTCTACCAGAGCTGGAATACAGAACTCGTGCTTCTGCTCCTCGTCCTCTTCCTTCTTCTCCTTCTCCTCCTCCTCCTCCTTCTCCTTTTTCTCCGTCTGCTCCCTCTCTTCCTCCTTCTCCTCATCTTCTTCCTCTTCATCATAATCATCCTCCCTCTTCTCCCGTGCACCCTTCCCCCTCTCCTTCTTTTCCGCCTGCTCCTTCTCCTGCTCCTCTCCTTCTCTTCCTCAGCTTCCTCCATCTCCTTCCTCCTCGCTCCTTCTTCTCCGCCAGTCCTCCTCCATGAAACCGCGCCCTCGCGCGCGCGGACTGCGAGATTGCCGCGCCCGCATTCCATTCATGTATATATCGAGGGAGCTCTACGAGTTCCCGGTTGCTACCGTACTCAGCTTGTGTGTGTTTCCATATTTTAGCTTCGCTTGCACGTCCCCATCCTGGAAGCACGTTGGTGTTGATCTTGGCTGTGTGGTGTCCGGGGTCTCGTTTGGAGACTTCGGTGCATTGCCTCGTTTGGAGGCTCGAGCCTGTGTCTCGGGGGGGGCCTCGTTTGGAGGCGCGAGACGCTGCGCTGCGGGTGAGACATTCGCACAGTGAGCGCTACGCAAACGCAAAAAACCAAGGTTGACGGTTTACCGCCGGCTCCCAGTTTGAAAGACCGTCCTGAAATCCAATATTTACGTGTAGCGGGTTATTTCGCATCTGCTTGCCAAATTCCCAGGTCTGTAGCTGCAGTATAATTATCAAAAGACGTGAGGAAACCGACTTCGCATCACCCCCCAAAATTGACTTTGCCAGTTTTTAAGCTGATCTTCGAGGAGCTTTCTCCTCGTTATCTGAGCACTAATTCGCGTGTTAAGATCTCTACGAGGGTCCTGGCGGTAAACTGGTTGGCCCCCTCCTCAGGGGTCTGGCGGCTGGGGGCTCCCGCCGGGGACCTCGTCTCGAGCGGCATTGTGCCGTGCTGCTTTCTTTGGTTCCCTTTACCGTACGCGTTGCTGCAGAGTGTATTTTGCCTGAGTACCGTGCACACTCATTCTTTGTTTGCTTCCTATTACCGTACGCGTTGCTGCAGAGTGTATTTTGCCTGAGTACCGTACACACTCTTTGGAGGTCGAGATTGCTGGAGGACACTATCATTCTTTGATTGTCGGAGTACTCACCCTTTCTATGATTTGCAAAGACGGCGTGGAATACTCAGAGAAGCCCCTCGTGGGAGAGTAGAAAGCTACCCCCCAGTGTGACATCAGAATCAGCCGTAGGTGAGTTTCACAGTATCGACGGTGACAGTGCGCTATCTTCCCTTGATTTCCCAGATCTCAGGATGGAGGAGAATACAGCGGCTGGACCTTTCGGCCCACAGCGGGCACAGCCACCTGTCTCGGGCCTGGTCGACAGCAGGCGAAGAGGTGGGGACCAGAGGAGCCGCAGTGGCGACAGAACGGATGACAAGCCCCCTGCTTGGTGGGCTGGCGCTCAGAGTGCGATGATTGATGCCCAGAGGATACAACTGAACGAGACCCTCACTGCACGCCTGGCCCCCATGGAGGCGACACTGGCGACGCACGCGGCTTCAATTGCCTCAATGAGGCGCGAGATTACAGAAAATGCAGCATCTTTGTCAGCACTGAGAACAGAATTCAACACACTTCAAACTAGATCGGAGTCAGGGTCCAGCAATGGTGTGTCATCTCGGATGTCTGGGGCCTTTACTCGTGCGACCTGGAACCCGTCTTTCATTGAAATCAAGGGCTGGGTGACGGACTGGAAAAACTATGAGCAACGAGGCCGCCAGATGTTGACACAATCACAGGTAAATGATATCCTCAATGCGATTGTCCTTTCTCCGATCGTCGCCAGCACTTCGGCGGAAGGCAGGATAGACACACCGCGTACTCAAGAAGAAAATGATGGACGCACATTCGGATACAGTCGCATTAGAATCTTTTTCACCATGGGGACCGATTCCAGAATATTGTGGGATATGCGCCAAAGACTCCTCGCGGCAGTGCATAGTGGAACCAGCAAAACACTGACTGAAGTGGCCAGACAGGCTACAGAGGCACAGGGGAGTATCAAAGTTATTGTTGAGGCGGCCCCACACAAACAACCGCATGTACATTGCGCGGGTAAGTTTCAGAACATCTTCAGGCGCCATGTCAATGCGGCCCTGGGGATCATTGTTCGAGCGGAGCTGGGACCACCTACGACACACTTCTGGGGCAAGCTCCCCAACGACACCACCAATGGCAAGGTCATCGCAGTTTTTAACCCAGCAACGAACTATGAGATCCTGCCCGCTCTGGCCGTCTTGGATCCAGCCATCAACACGGCACAGCTCCAAGCTGATCTGAGGGCTGAATGACATGAGTGGATTGCCAGAGTGGGCACATGGAATATCGAGAAAAGAGGTCCACAGTTCTCCAAAGCTATCCTAGATGCTGCCAACGACAGAGGCATTTTATTGCTGGGGCTCCAGGAGGCACAGTTTTTCACGGACAGTCGAAAGATTCTTGCTGGGGATGGGTGGCATATGGAACGCTCTTCGTGTAAGAAAGCAGCTATTTTGTGGAAGGGCCCATGGAAGGCTCTGCTACGTGACATTGAGCGCGGACCAAGGTTCGTCATTGCATGGTTCAGGCCAGCCGCTATTGTTTGCATGTATTTGCCATATGCGGATGATAAGGATGAGGAGGTGAGGGAATTGAGTCAAGTATTGGAGGAGGTGAAGAGGAGGATCAGAGAGTATCGCAGACGTCACCCAGAGCAGCCAGACATGTTTATCTTGTCTACGGATGCCAACGTTGAGATGGCTCCCAATATTATCGCCAACGGCCGTGCTATCACTGGTATGGGAGTGAAGGAAGAGGTGGAGGTTCTATTCAGAGGAGGAAGGGAGGGTGTGAGGAAGGAACAATTGGAGGAGATGAGGTTCTTGTTTACTGAGTTTTGCAGGGTGCATCGTATACGGCTGGCAAACACGTTTGGCCCTCGCTGTGCGACTTGGCGCGGTAGGGCAGCACCCCGAGGGGGGGCGGTGCTCGACTATATAGGCATCAGTGCTTCTGATCAATTCGACTCGGGGACTACTGCTGAATGGATTCGGGCCCCAGGGAGATCGGCTACAATCCAGGAGATCAGCGACCACAAACTAGTACATCTTGCGGTTGCTGTGGGAAGACGGCGACGCTGCAAGAATAGGAAGCGAGCTGCCCTGCATCAATGGGAACCCGTTGACCCTGTTGCGGCTGCTGCCAGCTTCGACCGTGCCCTGTCACGGCAGTTTCAATATGCAGGCTCCCGGTATCGCCCATTACAGTCTTTGGTTGAAGAGGAGGAGGAGGAGGACATCAAAAGGGGCGTGCAACCCGTGAAGGAGGAGGAGGGCGAGCAGAGGAGGCAGGGCAGGGGCACGCTCAGCCAGATCGTCGCAGATACGGCGGCAAGTATCCCTAGCCGCCAGGTGGCCGCACTTCGTGCACCTGTGAGGCCGGAACGTCTATGGACGCTCGAACGGCTGTTGCGGCGCGCTCTTTGGCCCAGAGAACTTCGATGCCAGAATGAAGTCAGGAGTCTTCGGAGATTGATCAAACCACTACGAAAACAATATGGTGCCGACATGCTCGAAGACGAACACAAAATTGAACAGCGCAAATTACGTACACAAGCACAGGCACTTAAAGTCAAAAAGATGACGGGGGAGTGGGAACTTACTTACGATGTCGAGGCCAAACAGGTGGAAATTGGGAGGCACTTGAAAGACAGGGTGGAGGACTACGGGGCGAGGAGGGAGGTGCAGTCTATTCTGGAAGGTCTGGCATCGAAGCTCAACCAGTCCCAGTGCGTGAGCATCACCATGCATGACATCTTGCGAGCAAGGGCTCGCCTCAAGAGTGGGGCGGCTGGGCCCGACCAAGTGACGCGGGAGATGCTGCAGCTCATCCCCTTTGCCAGCCTCAAGACAATCCGACATCATTTCAGCCAGATCGCCAATCGTCGTCAACAGGTCCCCTCGGATTGGA